CCCCTCCCTCCCTTTCAGCCCATAATTCTTCTGGGGATAAAACTCTGAGCTGAGCGCCCAGCAGACAGGGTGAGGGGGGCCTCACCTGGGACCAGGAGCTCCAGGGGTTCACTGGGTTGTGACCACACCTGTGGTCTGTTCCTGTAGCAGCCATAGCATCTGAACCTCCACCTGTGGCTGGGGGTCACGGGGCCCACAGGGAACAGGGCCTGGAACTGCCCACTGGGCTGTGGCTCTGAGTCCTGGGTCCAGGAGAGCCTGTGATCTCCTTCCTTAGTCAGAATGAACCTGCCAAATCCCTGCCCTGAGCCACACTGGAGGGTCACGTTCCCTCCTGAGGTCACGACAGGGCTGGGCAGGGCTGAGAGCCTGGGTTTGCTGTAGGCTCCTAGGAGAGGAGGAGGCAGCTTGTTAAATGGGCTCACACCTCCCTCATGGCCCCCAGGGCTGGGGGACCCCCTTCCTGAGGGCAGAGACTGAGGCTGGGACCCCTGAGTGTCCTCTCACCTGTTACCACCAGCTCCAGGGGGTCACTGCACTCTGACATGGCAGCAGGACTGAGATAGTAACAGCGATATATCCCTGCATAATGCTGTGTCGTCGTTGTGATGGAAAACTTGGCCTTGTCCTGGAGCTCCAGTGGCTTCTGTCTGTCCCAGGGCAGTAGGATTCCCTCTTTATACAGATGGTACTCCTGGGCCTCCAGGGTCCCCCGACACCAAATGGTCACAGGGTTCCTCCAGGCGATCACAGGACCTGGCTCAGCCCAGACAGTGGGTTTGGGGAGGGGCCCTGGAAGGAAACCAGTATCAGGTTAACAAGACATTCCCACCCCCAGTTCCCAGCTCTCATCCCCTGTCCCTCCAAGACATCTCCCATCTGTCAGCCCAGAAGTGGTGGTTTTCTCCAGCTTCCCATGGGGTGGACCCTTGTCCCCAGGGAGGAGTGGGACCTGGGACACCTGTGGACAGACTCACCTGCCTGCACTGGGGTCCTGAGGCCCACACTCAGCCCTGGAAGAGAGTCCCTGTGAGAGATTTGCCCTGAACCCTGAGCAACACCCTCCTCCCCATGAGCCTCCTGAGTCCTGCTGTCCTGACAGAGCAGGCCTGGCCAGGATGCAGGGTTCCACCCCACCCACCAGCCCCCCTCACACCAGGGCTTCCCCTCCCCCTCCTCACATCTCACCGAGGCAGAGTAGGGCCTTGAGGGTGGGGGTCATGGCGTCTCTCTCTCTGGGAGCTGCTGTGC